CGGCCAAAAGGTGGAAGCAACCCAAGTGTCTATGGATCGATGGCTAAGATGGCGAGTTTTATGGCATGTATATTGTACCACAATTAAACAACAACAAGAAACACACGCCTCTAAAAATCCACACCCTTCTCTCATTTATGTCACTTCTGTCTTATCTCTATCACTCTTGCCTGTCATCTGAGTTCTGATCCCATATTTCCAACAGGTTTCTTGACATCTTCACCTGGATGTTTCAAGGGCGGCTCAAGTTCAACATGACTGAGCCTGAACTCATGACCTCCCTGCCCAAACCTGCTCTTTCTGCCATGTTTATCTTTGAGTTGACTGATGCTTCTCACCTTTATAAGTCAGAAATCACCCTCTTCCTTAAACTCCTTTCCCCAGTTGCATCCATTGCAAATTCCTGGTGATCGCCCTACTTAAAATACCTGCCAAGGGCAGCTACCCTGTTCCAATCTCTTCCAGTATCACCTCTGATGACAGCAGTGGGGCCTGACTAGACTCCCTGTGCGTGCCGTGGCACCACCCAAACCCATGCTTCAGGGCAGAGCCAGAGTGATGTTTTCCAACGGCACATCTGATTGACTCCATTCTAGTTTCATTCACGGTAATCAAGGCCACATGAAAATATTTCACGGAAAAATCCAGCTCCTCCCAGAGTAAATTGCCATGCAGTCTTCTCCTGAGTCAATTTCACATCTAGTTATCAGAGCCAAGCTATCTTCTGGCTCTCTGCGGACGGAGTCTCTCAGATTTGGAGTCTGACACTGGGGCGTGAGGTGGGACAAATGTCACTGATGGTCAGTGCCTTAGTTTGGGTGGTGCCAGGTATGACTCGGAGACAAGAATTCTAGTGAAGTAGTTTATTTGGGAGGTGGTTCCAGGAAGCACTGACCGGGAGCAGGAGGCAAATGACGATTCCGGGTATATTATCAAAACTGCTGGTTCAGAGGACAACTGGAGTTCAGCTCCATGGGGAAGGTCTGGGAGATGGAGCCAGTCACGTGGATGAATTATCCCAGGAGCGAGGGAGCGCCAGCTCCTACAAGTCATTCTTTGGGGGTTGCTGGAGGGGGTGTTAATTGTTGTGCCTTTCTGCCTGCATGTGTGGGCAAAGTGGTCTGCTGAGGTTGTGGACAGAAGTCTTTAGCCAAAGACAAGCAGATATTGGCAGTTGGAAGTGAGCCCATTGGAGGGTCCCAGGGCTATGGGCAGGGCACAGACAGTACCTGCTCCTCTGGGGTGTTATGACAAGTGGTGATCACTAAATAATCAGACCCTCGTGACAGAACATGGAAACGCATGGTTAGAAAGGCGATCCGTTTGAATTCTCCTTTCCCTCAAGGAGGAAAGTCTCAGTTTGTGTTAATATGTCTCAACTCCTTTCTAACACTTCATCATCTCTCTTTGGAACCCAGAGACAGCCAGCCTTGAGTTTCGAGACTTCTTGGGCCATTGTATCTAGCTGCAGTTGAAAACATTGCTTTGGTTTCTAATTTATTTTTCCAATTAAGTAGAGAAGGTGCCCTGTTAAAATAAAGTTACATAATTAAGATATATGACTTAAAAGAATGCTAAATACATCGCAAGTTGTGCTGCATCAAGATAGGTGACGACGGGTGGTGGCTGGAGCATGGGGACGCTGGCCCGATGGATAAAGTTCCCACTCCGCAGGGGGCATCTGAGGCCTCTGCCTTCTTGGTTCCAGCCACCTCTTTGAATATGATTCTTTTCTCCCCTATGCCCACTGGAACCCCCTTCTCGCTCCCAACAAGTACGTTCTTGTCTCTGTTGTCCCAGCGGTTCCCGCCACCCCAAACCCCTTCTTCTTTCCTTCTTCAACGTCCCACTCATGCTTGAGGCTCAGCTCCACACTCCCGCCTCCTAGATTCCACCCCTTGAGACCACAGACTTCCCCCCAATTGGTGGTGAGTGCCTCCTGCTGGGGTCGCCCTCCAGGTTTATTTCATCCCTGTGCACGTGTGGTTGTGGACAGGTGGGTCCCCCACTAGCCCGGGAGCTTTGTGACAACAGGGTCCTGCCCCTGGCTGCAGCCCAAGGTGAGTTGGCTGGTGAGCGAGTGAAAGAGCAAGAAATGAACCACAGTTCCCTCCTCTGTGTCCCCTTGACCTCTTCAGGTGACTATGGACAACCAGGGTGCTCAGCGTGGGGAAGGATCATCATGGGGTGTGTCTGTGGCCCTGCGAGCTCAGCACGGACCTCTCCTTCTCAGCTGCACTGCATGGGGTCTCGTCCCCTCTTAGCTGTTCCTGTTCATGGCCAGGTGGAGCCTGTGGCATTCTTGTCCCCCAGTTCTGAGCAAGACCAGAGACCAGAGACCAACCTGCACTGGTGGCCATGGGTGCTGGGCGCCCGTCATGGTGCTGACAGTGCTGCCGGGGGTCTCCGGGTTGGTTCTGGGAAACCACTAAAGGCTGAGGCCTGAGTAGGAGCCCCATCCCCTGCCCTCTTGTCAGCCTCAGGGGCCCAGCCAGTCCTGGCAGTCACGGGCTGCTCCAGGGCTGAGCCTGTGGGCAAGTGGGGGGCCTGAGGGGGCCAAGGGCAGAGTTTGCAGAGTCGGCTGGGACTCAGGTTCTCACTATGAGAGCTGAGGTCTGCATGTAACTCAGGGGCCATGTCTGTGAATGAACGGGAGTGAGTGAGTGAGTGAGGTGTGTGTGTGTGTGTGTGTGTGTGTGTGTGTGTGTGTGTGTGTATGAGAGAGTCTGGAGGAGATTGGTGGTGGGCAGGTGGGAGCACAGAATGAACAGATGCTCTCAGAGGATAGAAGGTGTCAGGTGGACAGGTGAGCCTGGAAACATGGGCCTGGGGGTGGGGGGGCTGTGACGTGAACCTGAGGGGGCAGATGGGTTAGGATGACTCTCAGGTTCTGGTCTTACTTTGTCAAGAAAAACGAGAGCAGCCAAAATTCACTAAGTTCGCACAGGCAGCAGAGATGGGTCTTAGCACTCGTCAAGCATTTTAAGTATTTTTATTTAACAAATACCTTGTGCTTGATCTGCGGAGGCACTGCTCTAGTTGTTTTACTAAATAAAGGCAGCTAAACAATGTTTTCAGCCATTTAATCATTAAACCATTTAGTCCTCACAGGAGCCCAGTGGCCTTGTTGCCATTGTCTCCACTTGCAGGGGCGGTTGGTGACTTGCCCAGGTCTAAGAGGAAAAGCGGGGAGTGGTTGGGTGGCTGGTGGATTGACCACTGTCTGGCTCCAGAGTCGGACTCCTCCCCGTGGTGATGCCTGGATCTTGTCCTCATGCTTATAAAAAGCCATGAGTTAATTATGCTTGTTACCCCTTTTACAGGTGGAAAAACTGAGGCACACAGGGGTTAGCAATATTGGTGCCTGGGGTTGTCACCAGCGAGGGCACAGTTAGTGCACAGTCAGTGGTCAATGGTCAGAGGTGGGCCTGGACTCTGGCTCTGGGGCCCGGCAGCCATGGGCCCCAGGGAGCGTTGACCCTGCCCAGCCTGACTCTGCTGGTCTGTGACATGTGGCTCCTGATAAGGCGGTGTGACCGCGTCCAGCTGAGGATTAAGTGAGGGAATGGACCACAGCACTCAGAACCCAGCCCCCGCACGCGGTAACTGCCATGTGAGTGTCAGCCCACTGTCAGCGAGTCGCCAATCATGGTCACAGATGAATCAGGTCAAGAGGCCGCCCTGGAGTCAGGGCTTTGGGTTTAGGAAGAGAGATTTCTGTAGAAATGCTTTGAGATGTAGCCTGTAATTGGCAGCTTTGCTTCNTGGGCAGAGTGAGCAGTGAGAAGCCAGGCCGGGATGCAGGCAGAAAGTTCGGAAGATTCCGGACCAGGTGCAGAGCCTTGTGGGCCATGGTGAGGACATGGGTTTGTCTCAGGCGTGGCTGGAGCCACTGGGGGTTTAGGACAGAGGAGGGACACGATCCAGGGACGGTAACAGGATCCCTGTATCTGCCATGTTCAAAATGGCCTGTAGGGGGCGAGATGGAGCCCGGGGACCAGCGAGGAGATGCCACAATCATCCTGGGAGAGATGACGGTGCCTGGTCCAGGGCGGAGGTGGGAGAAGGGGTCGGATTCAGGGTATTTTGAAAATAGAATGAGCGAGGTTTGCTGATCAGTTGAAGGTGATGCGAGAGGGAGAGACGAGTCAAGAACAAATCCAAGGTCATTCTGTGTAGTTCCTGTGGAGATGTGCTCACAACATTAGAATTTATTAACTCTGGTTAATTTGCAATTAAGAGGCTATTGGCAGATACTTGAAGCTTCCAGGCCTTCTTTAGGGTGCCCTAATGGTGAAAAACAAAGCTTAGAGTATGACCCACGCCCATCTGATGCTCACCCCTCCACCCATAAAATGTGTGCTTTGATATCCAACACGAACCATTGAAGTCATCCACTGGCTATTAATGTGCTGGGACATGACCAAAGTATCTGCCACAAACCCAAAGACTGTCCGTGCCAGGAAGCAGGATGTTAACCCAGGAAGATGGAGCGTGAACCACAGCAGGCTGTCTAGCCCCTGTCCATAGAGGGAGGAGTCTGTGTCCTACCGGCTGTTGGGTGAGCATGGTGACAGCACCCACTGTTGTGGTCAGTTAGTTCCATCAAGAAACAGGGCCGCGCCGGGCAGAGTTGCACAGGTGTGCCTGTCCAGGTGAGCAGGTGTCATGCAGCCCAGAGAAGGGAGGTAAGGAGGAGGAGGTCTTGAGAGAGGAGCTGACAGGTGAGGTGGACTAGGTAGGGAGAGGGGGTGGGGGTGGGGAGGGTAATCCCAGGAGGAGAAAGAAGACGTGCAGAGGTAGAGCCAGCAAAGCCAGGGAACTTGATCCGGACAATGAGCCAAGAAGATGTGAGAATCCAGAGCCATTTGTATCCATTAGGGCCCTTTGGCTGCAAGCAACAGACACCTAACTTAACACAGAGATTTAGAGGACAGCTGTATGGCNTTTTTTTATTACAGGAGCTATAAGGTTTTTGTGAACAGAGTGATGTGCGGGGAGCTGGGTTGGGAAGGATGGCTCTGACTGCGGGGGTGGAAGGCAGCCCGAGGCAGGGGGAACTGGAAGCTGGAATCCTCAGAGTTGTCTGCACAGCCCCTCCCTTCTCCTTCTCCTGGGCTCTAGGGATTTAGTTTCCTTTTCTAAACCATCACAGAGGGTTTGGAAGCTAGCTCTGCCCTGCCGCTGGGTTACACAGACCAGAAATGAAATTTTGAGAGAGTGGATGCATCTGTCGGAAGTCCCATCATAACCGAAGACATCTGAGTTCTCGTGGGGTTTGCGATGAACTTGTATGGTGTCTCGGGGAGGCGGGGTGGAGAGGTCAGGACAAGCCTGTCCGGGTTCTCTATGATGGAAAAGGGGTTTCTCTGAAGGAGGACAGGGAGGGCCACAGGGAACCCAGGGATAGGAGGAGCCAGCACAGCCAGGTCCTTGGAGGACCTTGACAGCCCAATTGCCCTTGATGGGATGTGACAAGGCAGGAAGGCAGGAGATGAGCCAAGAGTGAGAGCTTTGAGCAGCAGGGCAGAGCAAATCCCTTTGGGAAAACGGCCAAGAGTGGTTTCTGAGCGATTGATTCAAACACCCTTGGGGGGTTGGTGGCTCACCTTTAAAAAATACCTTTGTTTGCGTCAATCAAAATCCCACTGGTAATAAAATATATTGGCATATAACCTACGCAAGAAAAGTGCCCAGATCACAAATGCGGTGTTGATGACTCATCACCAGGTAAGGTGTGCACACCTGTACCCAGGCCCCAGATCAGGAAACAGCATCACAAGTGAACAGAGGCCAGCTAGACACACTCTGGAGGGGCACATTGTCACCTCCAGCGTAAGGGAGGTTGGACCCCAAAGACCCTTTGGTCTCTGCCAGCTGTTTCACTCGAGTATTCTTTGTGTAGATTTTTATGTACTGGACTTCCAGAAATGGGACCTACCTGTGTTTTTAGGGTTTTGATTTCATCTTGAGTCCACCTTGCAGGGCAACAGATACTCCAAATCATAAGATGTGATGCCGAAATCTGGAAAAGAACGACATATTTTTTTAACCACCAGAAGAAAAGCCACCCAGAGAGGTGGCCAGCTGGGGCAAAGCTCAGCTGTCAGGAGTTGGACAGTGGGCCATCCGCGGGGATGAAGAACTCACAGGTCCCAGGACGGCAACTGTGGCCTGGGAGCTTCTTTCTGGAAGCCCTAAGCAGCTGGGGGCCTGTGGGCGGGGGGCAGCGAGGGCTCAAGGGACAAGCCTGAGCTGGTTTGAAAGTTTATCTGTGTTAGAGAAACTCCCATCATGACCTCAAGAACAAGTAAGCGCCGTGCCCCGTCACCCTGGCTTTGTTTTCCCTGCTCTCCTCTTTCTCCCCCTGTCTATTTTGCCTCAGTAAGAAAATGTATTACACTTCCTGGAGGCAACCGCTTTTCTTATCCTCCCCTGTGAATAGCTGAGCAAAGAATTAATTTCGATTTTTGTGATGTTGAGGCCTCTCTCATGAAATTACTCCCACGGTCTCTTGGAAGCCCAGGTAACTTGGTGTAATGACTTCTCATTCCTTATAATCTCCTTGAAAAATGCTGCGTGTGTCTCCCAGCACGGACCATCGTACATCCAGAGGGCGCTCTCGGTTTCCTTGCTATTGGCTCACACGCCAAGGCCCCGCCCCCACCCTGTCCCCATCCTCACCTCTGCTGGAGGCGTCCCTGCTTTCCACAACCTTGTCTTCATTCCCCATTCTGTCTGTACTTTCTCGCTCACGGACATACCCATGTTTTCTTCTCCTATTAAAAGCCCAACTGTACCCAGCCATGCTCTTTAAAAAAAAAATTTTTTTTTGAAATATGGTAATGAGGACCATTATGCTCTTATCAAAAGTCACTGTCTGATGGTTTACCTTTGTTGGGGTGTCACAGGCAGGCAGCAAGGAACGGCGGGCACGCCCCTGGCCTGTGCAGGTTGAATAACGGATCCATCATAACTTCATTCACTGAAACAAACTGTAAGAAAGGGGCCTTTCGCTTTTTCATAGGGGCCCCTGATTACGTGTGATGCGGGTGAGAATTACCCACATCTCCTTAGCAGTCTGAAAAGTTCAGATGAAGAAAAAAGTTTAAGCCTGTTCACGTCAAACGAAAAACGAAAAACTTCTATATGAAAAACCCACGTTTTTTTCATGTTGCATCTCAAACCTCTACAGACTGTCTTGTAAATGTCTGTCTCAACTCCCTGAGTCTTTGCACCCCACATGTCCAAATCTCCAGGAAATTTGACCAGCAGTAGTGTTGGGACTGGGGAAGGTGACCTTAGGATCAAGCTCTGAAAAGCCCCTGCATCAGTCAGGCCTGATGCAAAGGCTGGGGGAGCAGATGACGCCTGCCTTGAAAGGCCCAACAGGGAAGAGAAGCGAACGTTTCTAGATGGTGGCAGGAAGGTGGTAAGTGCTGGGCCACAGGCTCAGCGTGTTTAGCGCAAGGGTCTACATTCTGAGACACAGGAGTAGTCACTAAGTTAGGGCCGTGTATCAGTTACCTATTGCTGTGTAACAAATATCCCCTCTCCCCNGGTTTCCTCATCTGGAAAAGGGGAGAGTAGTTATACCTACGTTCTCTGGTTTCTGAAAATTAGGATTCTTTCATTTGCTACGTGACAAAAAGTTCAACCCCAACTGTCCAAGGCAAAGGGGTGTTTACTGGTTCAGGTAACTGGGGAAAAAAAAGTTTAAGAAAGGGGCTGACTCAGGCGTGACTGTTTATCCTGGGCCTGGGACCAGCGTGTCTTACCATGTCTCACCAGCATGTCTTAACAGCAAATGTGTTAAAAACACAAACAGTTCTGGCTTGAAAGGACCACAGAATCTCATCGTAACCCAGGTGTCGGCTGGTAGACACGCTGGAAGCCTGCACCTATGGGAAATCCAAAGCCAGCCCCAAGACTTCTGCGCTTCACAACCTGGCGTTTCTCCTGCTCCTCCGCTCCCACGTCTGGCCTCTGCTGAGCTCTGATTCCCCACTGCCCCTGGTTGATGCTCTTCTCCTTTCTGAAGGACCCCGTCATCCATGCGCTGCATGGGCTCCTTCTCCTTGTTCCTCAGTCCCCTACATTTCACGTCCCCAGGGCAGCTGTGATGGGCTCACTTTACTGGTGACTCTGGAGCAGCACAGGGCAGGTGATTTTATCGATGTGCTGTTCTTTTTGCATTTCTGCTAACTCCAGCATCAGGTTGTGTTGCTTAGCAACCCTGCAGCCTCCTAAGGCTTCCTCTAGACCCTGCTCCTCTCTTCCCCCAGGCTGCTCACATCTCTCGTGTAGTTTATCTGATGACTCTGCACAAGGGCCCCATTTTATAGATGAGGAAGCTGAGGCAGGGCCAGGAGAAGCGACTTGATGATAAGTGAAGGAGTTGGGGTTCACCCAGTTCTGTCTCACCTTGGGGTACAAGCTCCTAACCATTGCTCACTCTTTTCTCTGTGTTATTTGTATTGAGATACAATTGACATATAACATTGTATTAATTTTAAGTGTATGGCGTAGTGATTTGGTATTTGTATATATTGTGGAATGATCACCACAGTAAGTTTTGTTAACATCCTTCACCATATGCAGTTGCAAATTTTTTTTTTCTTATGATGAAAACTTTTAAGATGTACTCTCTTAGCAACTTTCAAATATGCAACACAGTATTATTAACCGTGGTCGCCATGCTGCACATGACATCGCCAGGACCTACTGATCTGATACCTGGAAGTTTGTGCTTTTGACCCCCTTCACCCATTCCGCCTACGCTCCAAACTGGTTTCCCAATTTTATTCATTCGCAGGCCACTCTCTCCGTTTCCCCCACATCCACACATCCGCCAGGACCATCCATTATTTATTGTTTTTCTTTAAATAAATCTGTTTTTGTTTTCACTAGGAAACTTATGTGAAAGAGAAACTGTTATCAGCAGAGTAAATGGCAAACCAGCCTGTTTGGCTGCGAAAGGACGGGGAGCATAGAAATAGAAACACCAAACCTGCACAGAGGGGCTGAGCCCGAGCCTGTTCTTCTTTGTTCCAGAGGCTGATTAGCGAGGCTTAGAGAGGCGCTAAAGCCTTATTAGCACCAAATCGAGATGTTGGCTTTGAGGTAATTGGAAGAAGTGAAGAAGGATCAGTATAGGATGCAGCGTTACCAGGCGCCACTTCCTTTTGCTCTGTCAGATCCCTTCAGGTTTGCCATTTGGGACTCCCTGAGCTGGGAGGAGGGGACCCCTAGGGAAAGGTGTCACCTAGGCCTGAGAGGGGGCCCTTGGCCCAAATGAGAAGCAGAGAGAAGGCAGTGCAGAGAGAGGGTAGAGGAGGCTGGAGCGGTGGGCAGGGAGGGGCCTGGAGCCCACAGTCAAGCGTTCTTCAGGTGGTATGGGAAGCCACATGAGGGTTGCAAAGCTAGGGCACGAGGGGGTCAGGTGAGTGCTCTTGAAGTCCAGGTGGCCCTGGGAGAGGAAAAGGGACAAAAGACTTTCTGCCAGAGGGGACAGCATCCGACCCATGCACCACCCCAGTTTGCCACCTGCCACTCCCTCCCAGCTCTCAGACACTTCTCCCCAGCAGGTGTCCACTGCGTGTCCCTTAAAGGCGGAGCTGGAAGGGTAAGTGGAGACTTCGATCCTCCGTCTGCTGAATCCATGTGTCAATCTCTCAGCAGGGACGGACCCTTTGGCCAGCTCAGGGAAAGTGGTGCAATGATGGGCAGTGGCAGCCCGGTCTGTCCCCTGTGAAGTGCCTCGGATTGGATTTCTGAGGCCTCGCCAGCCCTGAGGACCCCACTGATGCCTGGGCCAGGGACCTCTCTCCGCCTGCCCGCGGGATCGAATCTACTGACTCCCCATCGACTCCTCATCTAGCAACACTTTCCCTGAAACATGAAAGCTGTGATAGTTTCAATGATTTACTTATTTCAAGCCACCCAGTCATGACAGAGGGAAGTCAATAGGCTCTGTGTTAGTATGATTTCCCTTAATTATTCAGGCTCTCTAAAGAACAAAAGGAAGTATCTCATGATGAATCAAGCCATGTAGAGATAAGGCCTGAGAGAGAGGGTTGAGGTCCCTAAACCACCCACGTGGGTTCTCCAGGGCACAGGCAAGGTGTTCTTAATGCAACTGTGGGCGCTGAGTATTGATGGACCATCTTTACCACATTGAATCCAGTTGTAGCCTCAGGGACACAGCAGCCATGAAAACGGAGGTGGCCCTGACTTTTAAGGAGCTCCCGGACTAGTGTGTGTGGGGGGTTGGGGTGTACTCAGAAAGGCCTGACAACACCGTAGCATGGTCACAGCTTAATTTATGGATGACTAGACCG